CTGCGCAGTTACAAATGGTCTAAAGGCTTCTCTCCCTACACCGTATCATTTACTATGGAGGGACAGCTGCACAGCAGGAATACCACGATGCCCCCTTGGGTGAGGGGAGTTGGCTTCCGTGGGACACCCAACCAGGGCTCAGGTAGAGCTCAAGGCCCAGATAGCTGCGGCTGTGGCTTTTTTCTGTGAGCGTCAGGACTTGCCTCTCCTGCCCCTTGCAGCTGGTTCTTACCACTCCTTCCTGGTTTGATTTGCTAGATCTCTGTCTTGGTTCACTGTTTCACACCGGCACTGGTAGTCTGCCATCCCCGCAAGGCCCTGGGACATCCGCCAGGCAGTGAAATCAAATGGGCGCTTAAATACAGCTCAGCTCCACGCCACATTCTCTTTCTCCCTCTCCTCTCCCCACTCCCTCTCCTCCCTTTCCAGGAATGCAAAATTCCCCCGGCAGGGGATGGGCCAGGCTGAACCAGACATTTCCAAAAACTGTTTCTTCTGGAAATTTCACCCAGAAGTAGAGGGTCTGGTATTATGGACTCCCTTCCCATGTATCTGTCACTCAGTTTTAGCAATTCTCAACATTTTGCTGATCTTGTTGAGATATATATTTACTTATATATAGGTTATAATATATATTAAAGATTATAAAATTATAAAAAATTCTAATGTATACTAAAAATAGTTTTGCTGAAGTTTTTTAAGGTTAATCCCAGACGTTACGGTATTTCACCCAAAACTTCCATTTGCATCTATCTTGAATGCAGAAGGAAGCATTGAAGAATAATTACACCGCCATGCCATCATTATACCTGGTAAAATTAACTAGAATTCCTTATCAGCATCTAAAATGAAATTGGTGCACATGTTCTAGAGGTTTCTGAGACTGTGTCACTGGAAAAAAAAGTTAAAAAGAAGAAAAAGAAAGAAAACGGAACCCACATTTAAATTTCCCTGATTATCTCAAAGCTGTCTTTTATACAGTTGCTTTGGACCTCTCTTTGAACTCAAATGGTTTGTTGAACAAATTAAGATTAAGCAGAATTCTAATAAGGAGTTTAACCTTTGATAGGTATGTTTTCAAGCTTTTTGAAGAATTTGCCTACATGTTAAATAATGAGATTACCAGCAAGAATCTCAATTCTTTTTTTTTTTCTTTGAGATGGAGTCTCACTGTGTCACCCAGGCTGGAGTGCAGTGGTGCGATCTCGGTTCACTGCTACCTCTGCCTCCCGGGTTTAAGTGATTCTCCTGCCTCAGCCTCCTGTGTAGCTGGGATTACAGGCACATGCCACCATACCTGGCTAATTTTTGTGTTTTTAGTAGAGATAGGGCTTTGCCATGTTGGCCAGGCTGGTCTCGAACTCCTGGCCTCAAGTGATCTGCCTGCGTCAGCCTCCCAAAGTGCTGGGATGACAGGCATGAGCCACTGCACCCTGCCCAAGAGTCTCAGTTCTTTTGGCCACTGCATCAGAATGGAGGGGCTGCATTGTGCTGGGCACTGGGCCAGACTAGTTGCATGGTAAGGTGATGCTGAACTCTTCAAATCTCTTTATCCTCTTTCATTCCCCTCATCCCTCTTTCTGTATTGATCCTGTCCTTCTGCCACCTGGGCGGTGCCTCTCCCTGTCCTTGCTCTGTCCCGTGTTAAGGGGCCTTCTCTGAAGCGGATCCCTTCTTCCTGAGGGTCCCTGTCCTTGTCCTCACTCCTCGGGACGGCACAGAGGCCTCCCTCTGGGTCTTGGTGTGTGCTTCCTGCGCCTGCCTACAACCTGTTTCCCAACCCTCTCAGCATCCAAACCCAGCTCTGTTTTCCTTGCAGCTGTCTTACTTTGGGGACCTCCAAGAGCAGAGCCTGAGAGGAGGATGCTGGCGCAGGAGGTTTATGTGGGAGGTATGCCTGGGAAGCAGGAGTGAGGATAGGGGAGAATGAGGCAGGGCAGGGGAAAGCCAGCGGCCTTACCATCTGGTTACTGATGTGAGCTCCAGGTCTCAATCCCGTGAAGAAGGCACCCCACAATTGCCCCTGTGGAGGGTGGGAGGCTGGGGCATTTACCCACAGACCCCCATTCCCCACTGATTGACCTTTGTCGCACAGTTGCAAGGGTGGGCCAGAACCGGGGCCTGGCAGGAGGGGCTGGCTTGGTGGGAGAAGTGGGCAGTAGCGGGAGAAGTGGGCAGTAGCGGGAACGGCCAGGGAGTGAAGTGGGACTCAAGGTCTTCCCAGGCTAAGTCGTGAACTTCAGTGACTCCAGAGGGCAGGAGATGCGGTAGTAGGAATATGCTTTCTACTTTTTGCACGTTTGGCTTGCTTATCTACTTTTCTGAGCATCTCGCGGTGGGACTCTTGATGTCCACTCTCAGTCCACATGGTTCACATGGGGTTGCCCATGGCAACAGAGGTGGGCTCGTGACAAGGCCTGGCCAATAGGAGCCCTCCATAAAGTGTTTGCTGGCACTACTGACAGAGAGAGTCACTAGTCTCCCGAAATCCTGGGCACCAAGAACCCCAAGGACCTGGAGATGCTGGAGGCTGTCTGTGCCACCACGTGGAGACTGGGAGGCTGTCCGAGAAGAAAGAAATGCAAAGGAACACTGTAAGAGATGGCCAGGGCCTGGGCTTCTTAGCAACTGTGGCTAGCTCATTCTCTCTTTTTATTTTTTTATTTTATTTTATATTTTTTTGAGATGAAGTCTCACTCTGTCCCCCAGGCTGGACCTTAGTGGCACAATCTTGGCTCACCGCAACCTCTGCCTCCCAGGTTCAGTCAATTCTCCTACCTCAGCCTCCTGTGTAGCTGGGATTATAGTCGCTTGCCACCACGCCTGGTTAATTTTTATATTTTTAGTAGAGACAGGGTTTCACCATATTGGTCAGGCTGGTCTCGAACTCCTGACCTTGTGATCCACCTGTCTCGGATTAAAGGCATGACAGTCTCTCTCTTTTTATTTTATTTTTATTTTTAAAAAATAAAAATACTTTTTGTCGCCCAAGCTGGAGTGCAGTGGCACGATCTTGGCTCACTGCAACCTCCGTCTCATCGGTTCAGACCATTCTCCTGCCTCAGCCTCCCAAGCAGCAGGGACTATAGGTGTGCACCACCATGCCCAGCTAATTTTTGTATTTTTTAGTAAGAATGGGGGTCTCACCATATTGGACAGGGTGGTTTTCGAACTCCTAGCCTCATGATCCACCCTCCTCAGCCTCCCAAAGTGCTGGGATTATAAGCGTGAGTCACCCTGCCCTGCCCATTCTCCCTTTTTAGATTTAGGTTGGTTTGTCTTGGGTTTCTGCCACTGGCAGCTAAAGGAGTCCTGATGGGAGGTCAGGCACTTCACCAACGGGCAAGTGTCCCACTGAGGCCCAGCCAGTCACATCTGATGGCCCCACTTCCGTGGTCTGCCCTTGTTCAGGAGCTTGCGGCACCCTTCCTTCTCCATAACCTAGTACACGGGTGCAGAGGACCAAATGTGTGTGTCCCCCCAAAATACATCTGTTGAGATCCTAACCCCCAGTGCGATGGTGTTGGGGGTGGGGCCTTTGGGAAGTGATTAGGTTATGAGGGTGGAGCCCTCACCCTCATGAGTGGGAGTGGGGCCTTCACGGAGGGGATCTCACAAAGCTCTCTCCCTCTCTCTGCTATGTGAGAACACACGGGAAGGTGGCAGTATGCAATCCAGAGGGGGTCGTTCCCAGAACCTCACCATGCTGGCACCCTGATCCCGGTCTTCCAGCCCCCAGAACCATGAGAAATAAACGTCTGTTGTTGAAGCCACCCAGGCTATGGGTGGGTTCTTTGGAAGGAGTGAGATCATTTTCTCATCTTCTGCAACTACTTAGGATGTTTCCATGAAAATAGCTCTTTGGGGGTGGGGGTTGTGAGGTCTGGCCAGGCACTCCTGGAGGGAAGTGGTTTGTTGCAGCTTCTCAAGCTAAGACAGCAGGAGAGGATGCAGCAGCTCTCATCTATGCCTAAGGTGAGCTGATGCCCACATGCTCCCTGGCCTGGGACCACTGACATTGCAAGCCTGTTGCTAATTGGGATGGGAAGGGAAGAAAGGTTCACTTAAACCCAGACACAGTGCGGGGTCACTATTTCTTTTCATTCCCAGAGCAGCCAGCAACTTTTTTGAAGAGGGGAGAGTCTTTGAAGTCGCTCATGGAAGTGATTGCTTTTGAAGGGCCAGCCCTCGAAGTCCCCCAGGACTTGGGTTGAAACTGTCAGATTCTGCCGGCACTGCAGGGGCGGTTACCTATGCTCTGTGCCTGAAGCAAGAGAGGCTCCCTCTTTCCACTCTAGGTACCTGGCTGGGTCTGTTATTGGGCTGTATGCTTTCTTTGCATGATGGTTTGCATGGCTGTGTGTGTATGTGTGTGTGGTGGTTGTTTCTTTTTTCTTTTAATAATTTGGTGCTTCTCGAGGCTGATTTGCACCCTGATGGGTGCAAAATGTGTTCATTTGCCAGCTGTGTGCTTTGGGGTAATCCTTTTGCCTGAATAACTGGCTGCTGGCTGTGGCCAAGCCTGGGGCGGAGCTGACCCCAGTGGTGGATGGGGGCCAGCCAGGCCTTGCCCGATCACACACAAAGCAGCTCTCCTGAAGCCCCTCCACAAACAGTGACAGGAAACAAAGACCAGCAGGCAAGGTTAATATATTTAGATTTTTTGAAAAAACAAACTTTTTTTTTTCTTTTTTTCTGAGGCGAAGTCTTGCTCTGTCGCCAGGCTGGAATGCAGTGGAGCAATCTTGGGCTCACTGCAACCTCCGCCTCCCCGGTTCAAGCGATTCTCCTGCCTCAGCCTCCCTAGTAGCTGGGACTACAGGTGCACGCCACCACACCTAGGTAATTTTTTTATTTTTAATAGAGATGGGGGTTTCACCATGTTGGCTAGGATGGTCTCGATCTTTTGACCTCGTGGTCTGCCTGCCTTGGCTTCCTAAAGTGCTGGGATTATAGGCATGAACACTGCACCTAACCAAACTTTTGTTTTTCTTTTTTTCTTTTCTTTCTTTCTTTTTTTTTTTTTTTTTTTTTTTTTTTAAGTTGCAAAAACATGGGAAGTTTCCCACTCCGGGAATTAGCCATTGTTCCAGGTTTTGTGAGCAAAAGGCTTAAGACACCCCAGCCTGATTAGGTAGTTGTGATGATCTGGGTCACGTTTTCCAGAGTAGCTCTGACCCTGGCCACAGCACCAGCTGCTCTAGGACTGCGACTCTGAACTCCTTTAATATCCAACTTCTTTACCCTTCAAGGTCCCTTCAACATGGCCCTTTCCCTCCCATCTCTTCTTTCTCTGTCTCTCGCTGTAACTCACTGCTCACACCTTCACCTCTGCATCTCCACACAAGAAACCTTCCAGCAAAACAGCCTTCTCTCTGCAGGCAATTCCCATCCCTCACCTCCTTTAAACTCTACCTCAAAATTCCTCTTTTCCAGGAAGTACTCGGTCTCCCCGCCCCAGTCCCTCTCTAGAGAGCACTACCTGCTTCTGGGGAGTCGGAGGACCCGGGTTGGAGTCCTGGTCCTGCCGCTTGTCGGTTGCTGTGGTCTTAAGTATTTCTTATTTTAAATTCCCAGTTCTCTTGTGACTATGCAATAGTAGATGCTAACGTGCCCTGAAAAGCCAACATGCTGCAACGTGCAAGCAGGCTTCCCTGTGGGCCCCTGGGTGCGGCCGCCCTCCGCTCGCACCATTTCCCACCTGCTGCTGACTGCACTATGCGTTCGGCTGTTTGGCTGTCGTGGTAAATTGCCCGCCTTGGAACAAAAGTGAGTGCAGTTTGACCGCTGGGAATGCAAGGTCTGGAGCAGGACTGAATCTTAATGTTTATTTGGTAAGCTTCTCCAGCCCATAACCCCAGTCAGGGCTGAGCATGAAGCAGGTGCTGAGTCTTAAGTTAATTGCTTTGATTCAAGTTTCCTCGGACAGATCCACCACCCGCTGTGCAATGGCAAAAACACAGCAGCAGGATGGTGGCAAACCCCAAGCCTCCCCGTTCATCTTCCTGAACGTAACCTCCAGCGGGAAGGACCATCCTGGTGGCCTGCCCTCAGGGACCTTGCATTCCCAGTAGTCAAACCTCACTTATCTGTGTGCCAAGGTGGGTACCTAGTGGTGCTTGTCAGGTCTCAGGACCACCTGATAAAGGAGTTTTCTTTACCACTGGAGTAAAACCCCCCCAAAATTTTTGGGATTTTTTTCATGAAAACAGCTCTTTTGGCAGTGGAGGGTGTGTGTGTGAGGCCTGGCCAGGTGCCCCTAGAGGGAAGTGATGAAGTTGAAGGCTGTTTGTTGGGGCAGTGGTGAGCTCTGGCTTTCTCTGACTGCTAGAGAGTAGGCTTTCCTATCAGGGAGTGATGGTCCCACACTGGAGACTGTGATCTTCAGAGGAGGGGTCCTTAGTGTGACCCTCTGAATGGTCCAGGGCTGATCCCATTCTGGATTTACTACATGGCAGTGTTCCTATGTGGGGCTTGCATGCCAAATTTTACTTCTTGTGATTGGCTCACCCAAGCAAGGCCAAAATTACCAAAAATTTGATGCTTTGCTTCAAATTCATCCAGAATAAAATGTAGAATAAATAAGTGCTTCCAGCTTGTGTTGCTTGGAGTTCCTGCTGTGTGTGGATGGGACCTTCACGGAGTTCCTTGGAATTCTCAGAGGGAACCTTGCTCTAGCCATCCAAAGGCTCTGCCCGCCCCCCGTCCCCTCTGAAATCACCTCTGGTCACATTGAAGCATGCAGTGAGAGGGAGATGGACCAAGAGGGGGCAAGACAACTCTTTTTGATGGCTGAAGCCCTTGGTGGGAGTCCCAGATGCAGTCCACTCTTTGCTGGGCAGACCTCCTTCCTGGTAAGAGTAGGATCCTGTGTATGTATCTTTGGTTTCAAGCAAATGGAGGCTTAGGGTCTTATGCCTTTGGAAGGGTGGTTTAGAAGAGTCAGAGAAACGGGCAGAGTTCTGGATAAGGGGTGTCCATGCAATGCTCTTTTTTCCTGGAGACAGCTGGTTCCTTCCCTCAATGTGGTCCTTGGGGGAAAAGCGACCTTCAAGGCCTCAGCATGCAGGCCCGAGGTCCAGCTGCTGCAGCATGTCCTGCAGAGACCCCTGCAGCCTGCTCAGAGCCACCACCTCCGTGGAGTAGAGCGAAGCTTCCAGGACACCCCCCAGGTTTGCCAAGGTCTCCAGACCACTGGCCCAGGGCAAGTGGCAGCTCTTAGAGGCGGCCAGCAGGTGAAGAAGGGCCCGGAGGTTCTCCAGGTCGTTGGATATTTGGATCATGTTTCCGGAAGGCAGACTGAGGACAATCTGTTGGTAGATCGCCAGTATCTCGTCCATCTTGGAAAAGCTCAGGTCAGAGTGGAACTCGGGAATGAAGTCCAAACCGGTGATCCTTTGTTTGGGGGAGACCGACTGCTGTGCAGGAGAAAGAGGGAGAAGAAGTGCTCAGCACTGGAGAGGAATCACCCTCAGAGCCCTCTGCCTTCCCCGTGGGCACGGAGGCCCATTCTCTGGGCTGCCTCCTTCCACCCTCCCTCACACTTTGGTTCAGGTCCTTGTATCCTGAGCCCAGGTGACTGCCAAGCCTCTAAGCTGGTCTCCTAGATTCTTGCCCTTCCCACACCAGCCTTCCCTCCATTTCCAGACCAGCCTTCCTAGGTCATTCCTTTCTCTACATGATCTCTGCTGAAAAACCAGCCGTGGTTCCCTATGCCTTATGTAGTGGAGTCTGTTCCCCAGGCATCTGAGGTCCTCTCTAAGTGCTCCCACCCCAGCCAGCCCTAGTCTCTTCCACCCCCAGCAGAGTCCTTCCTCCCAGTCAGCTTTTCCAGGCAGTCCCTCCTCCTCAGAGATCAAGGTTGTATCCTCAGTGAGGAGGATCTTCCACCCCCAACCCTGCTCCAGTGACTCCAGTTCCAGGAGGGCTCTCCCCATCTGTCTTCCCACAACACTGAGGCTGTCACCTCTGTGGTTACTACCTTTGGGCCCCCGTGATATCATGTATTGACACCACTCAAGTTGGGGCACTTGGAATGTATCACGTGCAGCCTTGCTGAGTGGCTATTTTGAAAGGAGACAAGAGTTTTTCTCTAAAAAATGCCCAAGACTTTATCTAGTTCTAAGCAATCTTTGCTTCTGGACACCTAACTTCTCCCTAACTGCCCAATACTACCATGAGACGCCCACAATGACCAGGAGGTGTGGAAGTCTCCAGAGAGCTCCATGCAGTGGGTAAGGAGGATTCACTTGCTTTAGCTAATATAGGTCTCATAACAATCTTGTGAATAGTACGTGACATCCCCATTACCCAGATGATGAAACTAAGGCTTAAAGACATTAAGAAACCTGCTGAAGATCTCACAGACATCAGAAGTGTGAAGATTCACACTTAATCTTCCTAATTTCAAATACAGATCTCATCAGGGAAATGGCTGAAGGTCTAGGCCTGCTGGATCTCAAAGAAAGAAGCAGGGTGGGCACTGACTGTTATTTGCAAATCAGTAGAAGGTTGAATGTGAAAAAGGGTAGACTCACTCTTTTGGGTATCTTTGAGAGGTGGGACCAGAGATCAGCTGGAACTACAAGAGCCCTAATGACAAGCACATTAGAGATGGGATAGAGGCCCCGAGGAGATGCTGCTGGGGGTCTTGCACCTGCCAGTGGGACACAAGGAATTTCCCGGCTCCCTCTGGTCCTAGGCACTAAGACTCAAGGAAGTGGAGTCAGGGAGGAAGGCGAGTGCAGAAGGCACTGGGATGGAGGAAAGAGGCTGTGGCTGTGCCTGCATGTGCCTCAGCTAATCTCTGAGGCCTGGTTTTCCCCTTGGTAGAGTGAAAATAAGCACATGAGGCCTCATGATACCAGAGAATCCTCTTATTTTTTTTCTTATTTTTAAATTATTATTAATTAATTTATTTATTGAGACAGAGTCTTGCTCTTGTCACCCAGGCAGGCTGGAGTGCAGTGGCACAATCTCGGCTCAGTGCAACCTCCGCCTCCTGGGTTCAAGCAATTCTCCTGCTTCAGCCTCCCGAGTAGCTGGGACTACAGGCATGTGCCACCATGCCTGGCTAATGTTTTGAATTTTTAGTAGAGACGGGATTTCACTGTGTTAGCCAGGATAGTCTTGATCTCCTGACCTGGTGATCCACCTGCCTTGGCTTCCCAAAGTTCTGGGATTGCAGGCGTGAGCTGCCATGCCCAGCCTAATTTTGTTTTTTATTTTTAAATTAGAGATAAGAGTTCTTGCCATGTTGCCCAGGCTGGTCTTGAACTCCTGGTCTCAACTGATCCTCCTGCCTTGGCCTCCTAAAGCACTGGGATTACAGATGTGATCCATTGTGCCTGACCAAATCCTATGATATTTATTTATTTATTTATTTATTTATTTATTTTTACTTATTTTGAGACAGAGTCTTGCTCTGTCGCCCAGACTGGAGCATGGTGGCACGATCACAACCCACTGTAGCCTCAACCTCCCAGGCTCAGGTGATCCTCCCATCTTAGCCTCCCAAATAGATGGGACCACAGGTGTGCACCACTATGTCCAGCTAATTTTTTTTATTATTTTTGTAGAGACGGGGGTCTTCCTATGCTGCCCAGACTGGTCTCAAACTCTTGGGCTCAAGTGATTCTCCTGCTTTGGCCTCCCAAAGTGCCGGGATGACAGGTGTGAGCCACCACACCCAGCCCGAATGCTGTGATTTCTAAATGGAAACATGTGGCAAAGTTAAATGTTCTTGGGCCAAAAGAAAGAACCAGAAAGAGTGGGAAACTTGTGCTTTCAAATCCTTCTCAGCTTCCAGTAGGTGCCTGGCATTCAGGAGCTGTTCAATAAATGTCTCTTGGACTATCTGTGTCCAGTCCCACTAGGAACCAGTGCTGGGCTGGCCATAGTTCTACTTTGTCCTCGCAGACGCTCCCTACCGTATGTGACAGATTATTGATCCGGGTGATAATTGTCTTGATGAGGGTTTTGGTGTCATCTTGAACTCTTTGGATGGGCACAGCTTGGGTGCAGGACAGACAGGCCCAAAGCCACAGAAATTGACACAGGAATCCCCAACGCATTTTTTCTTCCCAGGATGTGCCTCTTGGGCCTGAAAACAGAAGAAACCACACATTACAAGGAGCTGGTATCTCAGAATACACCCCTCTGCCCCATTACCAACCACATTACCAGATGCAGATGAAAATCAGCTTTGCTTTCTGCCCTGGCTACCAACCCCTCAAAGTCAAAGACAATTTATGATCTACATATGTATTAACGAAATGCATCCCCTTAGGAAGAGGATTATTGTCTGGTAAATAAAACCACCATGAGGTATCCTGTAGACCGCAGAGCAGTGAGGCCAGGGTATGATCCAATGGACATGGGAGGGATGACGTAGACTTCAGTGTGTGCCTCAAGGGAAAAAGAACAGACTTTTAAGGTGTGGTTTGAACCCAGTCATTTACTCGCAGTGTAATTTTAAGCATATCACATAATCACAAAATACTCCACCTTCATCTCTGTAATATATCTATCTCTAGGCTTTTATGAGGATCAAATTAGATAATGCATGTGAAAGAGCTTAAAGGCGTTGTGAAATGTTCTCTATCATTACCCTGTCATTAGCGATTATGCTACTCACCCGTCCTCTGCATTTCTCCCTCACAGCAGCCTGCTGATACTCTGTGACGGCCTTTGCCACTTGCTTCCTTACTTCCTTTCTCTCCCACCCACTGGGAGCCTGAATCCCACTGGCACTTTTTGATCGTCTAAATAATATGTCAGACACAGTGCTCCACACCCGGGATGCAATGGTGAATAATAGATGCTCTCCACCCTCAAGTGGAGTTGAGTTAACAGGAGAAACAAATAGATCAATGAGCCATTCTAAAGCAGAAGGAAAGGGCTTTGCAAAAAGGGAAGGTACAAGATACCCCCAGAGGACAGGCGCAGCGGCTCACACCTGTAATCCCAGCACTTTGGGAGGTTGAAGTGGGTGGATCACGAGGTCAGGCGTTCAAGACCAGCCTGACCAAGATGGTTAAACCCCGTCTTTACTGAAAATACAAAAATTAGCTGGGCACAGTGGTAGGGACCTGTAGTCCCAGCTACTCAGGAGGCGGAGGCAGGAGAATCGCTTGAACCCCGGGTGGTAGAGGTTTCAGTGAGCTGAGATCATGCCACTGCACTCCAGCCTAGGCAACAGAGTGAGACTCTGTCTCAAAAAAAAAAAAACAACAAAAAAACAAAAACAACAACAACAAAAAAAACCACCAGAGAGCAAAGGGGGCTCCCTGGAAGACGTGTCACCTGAGCTGGGGATTAAGGACTGAGTATGGGTTACTAAGAGTAGAAAGTGGTGGCGATAGTGGCCGAGAAGTCAGGAAGTATGAAGACATGGCAGTGGGAGATCACATAACATAACATTCACTCAGAACGCTTGGAACTTTTAAAGTCTTGGAACCGTGAATTCTAAAATTAAAATGATATTCAGATCCTTGATTAAGCAGCAAAGTTTTAATGAGATACATGAGGCAAAAGGTAATAAAGCTAAATGTATGCAAGTCTGTGGCCAATGATCCCTGATAAGTATATGTGCATGAGCCTGAAATAATAATGAAATGTAAGTAAATATTAGGATGAAGGTTCTGGAGGTGGTAGTAAAGTTACTCTCTGCTGTTCACGTTCTTTCTCGTCTGGGTCTTGATGAAAACAGGTAATACATTTTCTGTCCATAGATGGCAATATTAGTAGGATTCATTTTCTGGCAATACAATAAAAACAAGCAGTCTGTCTATATATTGTTTATAATGTTTGATCAGAGTCATTTTTTTTTAATCTGAATTTTACAGGAGAGAAAAATATGGGACTCAGGAAGAGGAGTCAACTTGCCTAAAGTCAAACAGGTCCATCACATAGGATTCAGACCCAGAAGGCAGGAGTGCAAGACACCACCCTCCAGCACCTCCAGGATTTAAGGAAAAGCCCACATTATACCCCAATTCCCAGCCAAGGGCAGCTGCTGGGAACAGGGTACATGGAAGCAAATGCCCTGCTCTGGGATGAAGCTACGATATTGTTCCCCCATCTCAACTTCAAACATGAAAAATACTGTGTACCAAGTAATTTGGGAAAAGGCAAATTTATCTCTTAAAAAAGTAAAACTTCCCCTATTAACTACTTGTTACCTGAGTAATACACCAAATGTTTGTGGAACTGGGTTAAATAGTGCTCATCCCCATTTCGATTCCGTGAAACCCTAGCAGAGGTGGGGAAGTGTAGTGATTAGGCGCTGTGGCTCCAGCAGCAGGCTCTGCTCTTGTTAGTTTCGTGTCTCTGCGAAAGATACTTCCTTCAAACATCCTTTCCTTTCAGTAAAATGGAGCTACCACCACCACCTGGCTCCACAAGGGCAAATGAGATGAACCTGTGAGGCCCCTGCCCTTGGTGTGCGTGTCCAGAGCAGGGTTGGGGAGTAAATTATTATAATTACCAGGCAGGTGGGCCACACTACCTGTAGCCAGCTGTGAATCAAGCATTTAGCCCATTGTCTCCCACGGGCTATCTCAACAGGATGCCTGGTGTCTCTGGGTCTTCCCCATGTGGCACAAGATCAACTTGCCTCCTTTTCTAAGATTCATGTGTTGATGACACCCTCCTTCCCAAGAGAATTTATTACCAGAATTTATTACCAGATCGTGAGAGTGACTATTAACTGTGGTCATTTGGGGGTGTGCTCATTTGGGACACAGCAGCCTGCACCCTGCTGTCTCCCTCATTGCCCACTCTGCTCTGCACTCCTGGGCCGCCTTCTCCTTTAATCAAGGCCTGGCTGCCCCATTTTCTACCCTCCTCCCCCGCCATGGTACCCTGAAGAAGAAATGAGGAAAACTGGAATGTGGAGCCTGTGGGGCTGCACAGATGAAATGTGGCTGGGTGTGGTGCTCAGTCTATAATCCCAGGGCTTTAGAGGCTAAGGCAGGAGGATTGCTTGAGCCCAGGAGTTCAAGACCAGCCTGGGCAACACTGCAAGACCCTATCTGTAAAAACGAAATTAGCTGGGTGCGGCGGCCAACGCTTGTGGTCCCAGCTGCTTGGGAGGCCAAGGTGGGAGGTTTGCTTGAGCCCAGGAAGTCAATGCTGCAGTGAGTTATGATTGCACGCTGCGCTCCAGCCTGGGTGACAGAGCAAGACCCTATCTCTTAAAAACAAAAGCCAAAAAAGATAATGAAGCAATCACAATAAATGGGGCAGCAAGTGAGGCTTATATAATGTGCCATTCACCCTACCACAAATTCCTCTGTCTGACTCCACCTGGGTCCTCGGCGCTGGCCTCACTTTTACCCCTTCTCAGGTGGGTCCCACCCCCATCCCACTTGGCAGTTGTGTGCAGGGCCCTCACCTCACCCCCCACCTCCTACCTCCCTAAGAAACTGGTGACCTCTAGATCTGAGCTCCATCACCTTCCCGCCATCATAGGTGACAAGGCAGATGGAGGCAGACCCTCCATCCTGGGAACCTCAATGTCAAGGTGGGAGTTGAGATGGGCAGAAACGTCTGCTGCTCTCTAGATCCAGGATGGAGAGCCTCCTGAGCCAAGGTCAGGTCTGCCCATGGCCTTCTGATGACAGCAATGGGAAGAACATAGCAAGGAATGTGGGGACCACAGAGGCATTTGCTGCTGGAGCCTGCTAACCTGGAGCTGGTGAAACTCCCTGCCTATCTTCCTCTGGTTGAAAGTACCAGAGGTGAGCAAGACACCCAGCACACACTTTGCTCTCTCCCTCTTTTCTCCGGCCATCCATTGTTTTGCACCTTCCTCTCTGACAGTCTTTTGCATGCTACTGTGAATTAAATTCAGGTAACATGGCATTTGCTGTTCATTATGGCAAAAGCTTTAGCTAGTGTGAGTCCTCTCCCTGTGCACATTCTCCTGTGGGATCCCTTCCTGTTCTTCCCTCCCACTCTCCTTCCTTTCTTCACAACTCCAGGTTGGAAGGGACTTGGGGATGAGGAAAGGACAAAGGAGGAAATAAAGACAGTGAAGTTTGGATCTTGGTTCTCCAAATTGCTCAGAATCTAGTGGAACAGACGGAAGTTTGAACAACTCATTTTAACACAACCCAGTGGCGGTTATGAGGGCAGAAGCATAGAACCCAAGGAGCAAAGAGGAAGAGGGACTCTGGGGATGGGAGAAGAGCCTTGCAAGGGAGGCAGTCTGTGAACTGAGACTTGAAGGACATGTTCCCCAGGGGAAAGAGGGGAAGCGGGGCAGTCCAGGACAAGTTGGGGAGTGGGGGAAAGCATGGTTGGTTTGGGATAATTCAATATGGTAGAGGGGCAGAGTGTGTGAACGTGGAGAGCTGAAATTTGGGGGACTTAAGTCCGTGTTTAGTAGGGACCTGCTGGGAGATCTAACCTACCCAAGATACACACACACACACACACACACACATACACACACACACACACACACATACACACACACACACACACACACACACATACACACACATACACACACATACACACACATACACACACACATACACACACATACACACACACATACACACACACATACACACACACATACACACATACACACACATACACACACATACACACACATACACACACACACACATACACACACACACACACACACACACACACCCCCCTTGGTGGCCATGTTTGCATTTATGCTCCAGCCCCCTTGGTTACAACTGCCTGACCAGTGGTAGGCAAGAGACCAGGAGGCTCTTCTCTTCTCCCTTTCTTCTTCCCTTCTTCTTCCAACCCCTGATGGGGCAATCAGCTTCTCTCTTAGGAATTTAGAATTGGGGCTGCAGAGAGCCCAGTTCATCTCTGTTGTGGGCTCAGAAGCTCTAGGGTAGCCACATTTGGCCTCATGTGCATGGAACAGCTGAGAGAGACCAGAGCCCACATAGCCACTGAGAGCCAGAGTATGGTCACTGCCTGTTCCATCCTAGCCTTCTTCGTGGTTCCTGGGTCCTCATGAGGCCTGGTGGCCCTCCTTGTCCTTAGCCTTCAGGGTAAGATACTCTTTTCTTATACTCACTTGGATACCTTTCAACTTTTTTTTTTTTTTTTTGAGATGGAGTCTCGATCTGTTGCCCAGGCTGGAATGCAGTGGGGCAACCTTGGGCTCACTGCAACCTCCACCTCCTGGATTCAAGCAATTCTTCTGCTTCAGCCTCCCGAGTATCTTCCGAGTGGCATGGGCCACCACACCAGGCTAATTTTTGTATTTTTAGTAGAGATGGGGTTTCGCCATGTCAGCCAGGCTGGTCTCTAACTTCTGACCTCAGGCAATCCACCCACCTCAGCCTCTCAAAGTGCTAGGATTATAGGTGTGAAGCACCGTGCCTGGCCTAGCTTTCAACTTTCTAAATATCTCTCTCATTTGAGGCATAGATATATACATGTGAGAGAAGTAAGTGTCAAGAAACAAAATTCACCCTTATCGTGGGTAATGCACTCTTGAGATTCTCAGCCCTTTTTTCAAATGTTGATCACAATGTACAATTTGGAAAACACAGAGCCAACATGAGTGATTTTCTCTGATTTGCAACCAAAAGCCTCATTTGAAAAACTGTGTTAACATATGTAACCAGCAGACAGGGTGTGAGTACGGGGGGAGGGGGGGTTACATTCTTTCTGTTCATCAGAAAGATCTGATCTCATCAGAGTTAACAGATAGATTTCTACTCCTGCGTCAGTTCTGACTCTGTGTGTGTGTGTGTGTGCGTGTGCGGGCGCCAAGGTCTCATTCTGTCACTCAGGCTGGAGTGCAGTGGTGTGATCAAGGCTCACTGCAGTCCCGACTTCCCGGGCTCAAGTAATTCTCCCACCTCTCAGCCTCCTGAGTAGCTGCAACTACAGGTGTGCACCACCACATCCAGCTAATTTTTTTAAAAATAGAGCTGGGGTTTCACCATGTTGCCCAGGCTGGTCTGGAACTCCTGGGCTCTGATGATCCACTTGCTTTCGCCTCCCAAAGTGCTGGCTCACAGGTGTGAGCCACTGTACCCAGCCTCTGATCAATTTTTGAGGCTCCCTGGAGCTCTGTGTGAGAGGGATCTGAAGCTCCAGCGAGACTCAGAGGGAGAGGGTTCCCTGATTAATTAATTTCACCTGTACCTGTTCCAGCATCTAGCACAGCCCTGGAACAAAGCAGGGCTTCATTAAATATTTGTTGCTTGAATAAATGAAAGAGTTCCTATTCTCGATTTGCATTGGCTAACCGGGGTAACCCACCTCCTGAATGGTTCACTTGCTCCCGTCTTAAAGTCACATCCTAGAATTCACTTTTTCCCCGCAGGAATTCTTATGTAGTTGTCTTAATAAAGACAGAAAATGCTTTGGTGTCCAGGTCTCCCTTTCTTGGGGACCTTGGTCTGCTTCCTTCACTTCCTATGCGTCCTCTAGCATCCAGGTGGGCCCTGATTCCCTTCAGCTTCCTAAGCTCGGCTTCATCTTGACTGCCATCCCGGGGCACTCCCTCCCGTGGACCCATTCATGAGCCTGGCTCCTGCCCCTGCACTCTGGGACCCCTGCCCTTTTCAGGGACCCCTGCTCTGCCCTCCCCTCTTTTCCATGTTTTCTCTTCTCTTCCTTGGCAAGCCCCCAGCCTGGAGCATCCCAGAACAAATGCAATATACACCCAGATGGAGACTGAATCTCCTATAGTATTAGTGAATTGTTGGTATGGGCATTGATTATAGGTTCCATTCCAGAGAGCTAACAAACTGAGCAAAAAGGACGGCAGCATGCTGTCCGCTAAGCAACAAGGCACACTGGCTGTCACACGTGGAATAAGCGCAAAGGAGTCTGTGGGCCCAGACACCAAGTGTGTTGTTTTTAAGCAGAAACACCCTCTCTGTTTCTCTGAGACAAGTGTGTGGGCAAAGAGGAATTTCAAGGCTCTCTGCTGACCGGCCAGAACGGAGCTGCGGCTGCCAGACCCCTACCCTGGTGGGGATGGGGTAACTGACTGCCGGAGAATTTGGCTCAATTTTCCTTTAAATCATACCAGTGCTGTTCACAGATGCACAAGACACAAGCACTCTATCTTCCTGGAGCCCCTTTTCTCTCTTCGGCTCCCATGCCCCTGTTGACATCTAGGCGGGGGTGGTACATTGAGCCAGGCTCTGTGGTGGCCACCTCTGTGCCCTGCATGGGCCACTCAGACATGTGAGGCACATGCCTGGGGCCTGATGGGCAGGAATTCATTGCAACTTCCCTGGCTCTGTACTTGGCACTTGGAGCCATTTCCTGAAATGGAGGGGGAGGAAAATATTTCCCCGAATACCAAGAAGAGTTATTTTGGGTATAAGATGTACAAAATATGAGGAGGACACTCCTTTAGCCAACATGGAAATATTCCCCTCAGCCCGATGTCCACAACCGCTTGGCAAGGGAAAGAATCTAAAAGCATCCACTGTTTCTCTCTTGTCTTGTCTCCCTGCCTGAGAGAGAAATGATCAGCATGGCCTTCCTGTTGCTAAGGGAATTAGAACAGGAGCACCCACGTTTCTAGATGCCTCCATGTTTGGTTCTGCAGACAATCCTAATGGGTAAGAGATTGGGAACACTCCCCAGTTCCAGCTGCCCATGGCCCACCTCAGAATCCTACAGAACAAAGGCAACTCTGGCTGCCAGAGGTCATTCTTGCCCTGCAAAGGAAGAGAGCTTGTGCTCCTGGAATGGCACCACCAAGTCTCTGCTCCTCACCCACCTCCCCCAAAGATCACCATTCCAACAGAAATTAATCACCTCTTTGAAGCTACTATTCTGAAATGACAGCCAGCCTGTCATTTGGTCCAGTTGTCTCACTTGGACCTCACTCTATTTAAGGAGTCCTTTCCCAAAAGCACCACCATTTAATCTACAGAAACAGGAGGTAAAGGCGACGGCACTCACACTGAAATCCAGACCAAGCCCAGAGACAAGGAAGGCTATAGGTGAGCCAGACAGGCCATCAGCGCCTTATAACCAGTTCTGTCCCCAGCAACAACTCATTGTATCCATTGCAAAGAATGCAATTTGCATGGCTTTGAGGCCCGATCTGGCGAGACCCTGCACAATTTCTCTGGAAAGTTTTGAGTCTTCCTGACACTTAATTTCCCCCACCTCTACTCACCCTTGCCATTCTCCTAGGCATTGGCCTTATACAGCCCCTCCCATTCAGAGGTCAGGAGCTTGCCTGGAAAATGAAGCCTGATTCTTACCTGCAGAGCAAGGCAATGTCTAGACCTGAGAGTGATCACTTCCACCTGCGTCCCTCCAACCCCCAACTTTATCTCCTCCAGATGGGGATGGGTATACCCTGATCACTGGGGATGTGCCCAAGGCAATTTCCAAGGCATCTCAGCTCTGCCAATGCCACAAGGTTGGTGGGTCTGATAGTCTCCCAGGGACCTGGCTGGTTCTGCAAGGTCGGAGTCCTGTCTTCGTCTTCTGGGCACTGGCACAGCCCAGCAGCAAATCTAACTCTCCCTGGTTCTCGGGAGCCTTCTCTCTGGCTAGAACTCGGTGCAAAGTTATCATAGTCCAGAAATAAGCCATCGCCCTGCCTCCTGCCTGCTTCAGTTTTCCTGGGGTCCAGAGCGGGGTGGGGCGCTGTGGCCTGCCAAGAAAGACCAGCAGAGAAGGAGGAAGGAGCGCGCCAGGGCCTTACCTTGCAACAGCTGGTGCCGCGATTCTTACGGGGCTCCATGCCTGCCCTCCCCTCTTATAGCAGCTGGATCACAACTTGCGCAACGGTCCGGCCGCCAAGGGTGTCAGCTCCAGCCCCGCCCCGCCCCGCAGGGCAGCGGCCGGTCAGGCGGCTGCGAGCCCAGATCCCGCAGTGCGCGCCTCGCAGAGTCTCGAGGGAGGTCCTAGGCGCACCAGGAGCCACGCGCACACCCTTGGGCATCTCCCAAAAATCTGGGTGTCGCTGGCAGGAGCGAGAAATCCTCAATGTCCCACCAGGGGCTCCGGCGCGGCTATGGCGCAAGGATCGGCCTCTCGGGAAGGTGCCTCAAGCCGCGCGTGGAGCGGCTGGGGCGGCGTGGCTGAGGGAGGCTCTGCGGAGCCGGCTGGGGCATCCGGCGGCGCCCTCGCTGGCCCGGGCGCGGCTTTCAGGCGGCGGGGCAAGCCGGACTCCGCCGGCCGCTGCCCACGCGGCGCTCAGCCCCAACAGCCCTGGAAGTCCAGGAAGCCCGGGGCTAGGGAGCGGCCAGCCCTGCGCCAGGTGCGCCCATCCAGAATTGGGGGGCTGGGGGTTCTGCCGTCCCACTCCTTCTCTGGCGCGCGGAGAATCCAGTTCCAAGGCCCAGGGCGAGTTGTCTCTGAGGGTTGGCACCCCAGGGAGTGCGCGCTCTCTGGAGGGCTCCGGTCGGGCACTAAGGCCTTTGGGGACGCTCTGGAAGCACTGTGGGTCTCCATTCTCAACCCTGTATTTCCTACGTAAAAAGTGGGGATGAGGGTGGTGGTCCCAGACATCGCCTTGTTTTCCTCATCACAGCCTGTGAGAGGGTGGTTTTATCCTCATGCTTCAGGGATGGGAAATAAAGGTCCAGGGAGGTTAAGTGGGCCTTCCCTTAGATTCCCCAGCTGCTGAGGAATAGTGGTGGGCTAGGAGCCCAGGCCTGTTCTGGTCCCCATCGCGAAGAGGAGCTCCAAAAACAAACCACTCTGTTAAGAATCAACCCAGTCGGCCCGGTGGCTCACGCCTGTAATCTCAGCACTTTGGGAGGCCGAGAGTTTGAGACCAGCCTGGCCAACATGTTGTAACCCCTTCTCTACTAAAAATAGGAAATCAGCTAGGTATGGTGATGCATACCTGTAGTCCCAGCTACTTGGGAGGCTGAGGCAGGAGAATCGATTGAACCCAGGAAGTGGAGGTTGCAGTGAGCCAAGATTGGACCATTGTGCTCCAGCCGGGGCAACAAGAGTGAAAAGCCATCTAAAAATAATAATAATAATAAAGAGCCAACCCATCATATAAAGCAGGGAACTGCAAATGATGCCCGTGAACCAAGCAAAAGAAGAGACCGGATGCAGTGGCTCATGCTTGTAATCTTAGCACTTACGGAGACTGAGTGGGAGGATCAATTGAGGCCAGGACTTTGCAACCAGCCTGGGCAACCTAGTGAAATCCTGTCTCTATACAAAAAAACAAAACAAAACAAAACAAAAAAACCTGGTGCTTGGAGTGCCTCTGTGGTCCTAGCTACTTGGGAGGCTGAGGTGGGAGGATCGCTTGTGCCCAGGAGTTTGAGGCTGCAGTGAGCCATGATCGTGCCACTGTGCTCCAGCCTGGGTGGAAGAACTGTACCCTGTCTCTTAAAAATAAAAAATTAAGGCCTGGCACAGTGGCTCACGCCACTAAGAAACATCTATGGAATAAATACCCCACTAAATACGTCATGTTAAGCCATTTCCAATAGGCCAGGGTGAAGACTACAGCTTGACAAAACAAAGCAGCGCCAGGGGCCAGGCCATCTAGCAGTGTGAGATGGATGCACTGCCCATCCCGAGTGCCACAGCTTCCACGGGACACACCCAGGCTTTCTATCCCTCAGTCCTCTTGGGTCTAACCGATTTCTCAGTGTACTCTAGTTCTGCCTGATAGTTTGTTAATCCACAAATGATCCACTGTGTCTGTTCAACTTCCCCCAAAGCTGATTTTCTTGGTTGATTCTGGGTCAGGTTTTCAGCTTCCAACAGGCTTTGAGGGAGGGTGGGGAAGATGGACACGTCCCAGTGCCGACTCACTCACACCTTCTCTTCCCTGAACAGTGGCTGCTCCTTATAGTGGAGGACTGCAGGGGTCCCCATTTTCTAAAGGCTCAGCTTATGGAAACATAAGGTTACTAAACATGTTAGATTTGCCTTCAGTCCCCCCAGGCTGGGTCTGTTCTCTTGGTGAGTAGGGCACTGGGCTAAGCAGGAGAGGGTTTTGATTTCATCTCTGGGTGGGACATTCAGGTTTGCTGTGTGTCAGTTCCGCAGACAGTGACTGACTGCTAGCACTGGTAGGCGTTATGAAAATGAGAAAGCCAGGGGTCTTATCTTTAGGACATAGACTGTTGCAGGGCACACTCTAGTCCTGGCCAGTCTTGCAAGGGAGTATGTGTGCATGAGCAGAGAAGGAAGAGGGTGAGGGAACCAAGTGGTCTCTTAAATGGACAAATGGTCCCAGCTTCCTCCAGCCAGACACTGCCAGTGCTCCAGGCCGGCCACTCTCATGCCTGGGAAGGATTCCATGCTGGTTATGTCACCTTGAGTTCTCTTTCTCCTCTTGCCTCGTGTCTTTTCCTTATCTCTTTTCACCTATCCCCTCTCTCTCTTCCACTGTAGATCTCTTTAAACAAATTAATAAAAAATAAGTAAACCACAGATTTTAGTGGACGATATCTTGCCTCCATCAGGACATCAGTGGCAGTATCTGGGAAGTTTCAAAAGGTGGTTTTCATAGCATCTCTTCTTCCAGTCAACAAATACACAGTCTTATATATTTGTGAGCTACATAGCACACTCTTCGTAAAACTTAGTGGCTTAACCCAAGACTATTTATTTAGCTCATAATTCTGTGGGTCCAGCAATATGGCCTGACTCATGCCTATGGTGGCTTGCTGGCTATCAGCTGAGATGATGATGGTAACTGGTCTAGCCTGGACTTGTTTATATGGTGACAGCTTCTGAATTCTCAAGAGCAGAAAAAGACAGAAAACCCAACTTGCAAGCACTTTTCAAGTCTCTGTTAACATCCTGTTTGCTCTTCTTTTTTGTTGTTGACCAAAGCAAGTCACATGGCCAAACCCAGAGTAACTGGGAGGAGATTGCCCAACCCAGCAATACAGGGAAGCACCACCAGAATGGGACCTTACTGTAATCAGCCCATCACAGGAAAGTGTGTCACACTGAACTCATGACAAACTTAGCCAGCAGCAAGCATCAGCACAGGTGGCTAAGTGGTTACACAGAGAAAAAGGCAACTCTGCAAGGGCAGAAAAGGACATGGAGGGGCCAGGTCAGCTGGAAGGGAGCTTCGGGGAGTGAGATAGAAAATCCTTGCAAAGAAAGTTAACGAGGGACTGGGTCTTGAAAGGCCTTTGTAGATAGTGGAAGCCATTAAAGGCACCGGAGGACATTCATGTGATCGAGTCACCATTTTGGAAGATTAAAATGGCAGAGACACACAGGGAGGATTGCAAGGAATAAAACAAGGATTGCAAGAAATAAAAATTGAGGTGACAGGTTATTAAAAATTACTTAGTTGCCTGTTTGTTCATGCATTCATTCATTGAACCAAGAGGCATACATTGAGGGCATACTATACGCCGGGTACTGTGCTTGATCCTGGAGATTCCAAAATAAGAACGGTACAGCCCTGGACCTCAGCAGTGCTTCCGGAGCATGAGTGAGGGGTAGTGGGGAGACAGAAAAGACAGATCCAAAAGAAATTTTGAAGAAAAGAACACCAACCCTGTTAACCCTAGGGAAAAAGTGGTCATATTTCCACACACTTTCCCATCTACAGCTCAATGCTGCTGGTAGAGACACAGAAGTAGTGGGTGGGACAAAGATGCTTCTTGTGAACATGGTTGCCAAGGACATGTGGCCCCTGGTGTTCAGCAGTTAACTGGGGCTGCAGTCCAGGTAAGGGACCAAGGATAGAGACATGCCCCAGGTACCCTCTACAAGGACACAAAAGATGACTTCTTACGAAATCAGGGTTGTGGGGCCCAGCAGTCTCAGGCCAGTGAAACATTTTGTAATCTGCACTGTTTTGAGCAGATCAATACACAGTAAAGGGTGTGGAAAGGACAGAGTAGGGATGGGAATTTGCTGGTGTGAAGATCACAGAGCTCGGTGGAAGCCACATGAGATAGAGGCCACATTGGAGCTTAGCAGCCCATGTAAGTCTGGGGAAAGAGTCCTGCAAGGGCCAGAGCAAGAACAATGACTTTTCACTCCTTGTAATTATTAATTGCCCAAATAATCATGTGCATTGCAGAAAATTAGAAAAGGCAGAGAAGCAAAGCCATGAGACAAAGTCATTCCTCATCACACCGTGCTGAGATAACCCCTGTTAATATGTTTGCACTGATCTGCCCAGACTTGGTAACAGCCTCTTACATCCTCGGTTGGAAGCCAGCCTGGAAATCCTGAAGAAACAAATGACAGCCAAGAGGTTGATGGCAACCAGCTCCCTCTCTGGGCTGCATGCTCTTTCTCTCACTTGGTTGGTCTTTCCCATTGGAGTGGAAGGACCTGAGCCATGATCCTTTGTAGAGCTGGACCCTGCCCAGGCGCCCAGGGCTGCACAGGCATTTGGAGAGATGTTCTGGAGAAGCAGCAAGAAGCCTTGAGCACTGCAGAAAGCTGTGATCTGACACATCCCGAGGCTTCCCAGTTCTCCAGCCCTACATTTGTCCCTAAAGAGGTGTTTTGCCAGACTGCTTGCATAAGTACCTGTAGTTAAGCCTCTAGCAGTAAGATTATGGCTCAGTAGGATTCACCACTTGCTCCTGCAGCTGGGAAGGAGTGGGGCTTCAGAGCTTCAAGTCCCTGGAAAGGCTTAGTGCACTCACCGCTCAGCTGGGCCCTGGGTGGTCCCATGGAAGTGAAAGTCATAGTTGATGCCCTCGAGGAATCCACAGTTTTCCAGCAAAAATTTGGAAACAACTCAGAATCACTATGGAAATGTGGCTGTGATAGC